TCTCTAGCTGGGGACAAGATCCATGGAGGAATCTACAGCTACGGCTACGGCTACGTCTTCCACTCGTTATTTCTCCATTTTCACGAATTACCCTCTGATTTCCGCCGTCACGGCTTTTACTATCGCTCAATTCATCAAACTCTTCACCTCCTGGTACGCATCTCTATTCATGCCTTGCATATGATGATGATGGGTCGTTTCTTACTAAGATTTCGATCGGACTCCAATGAAATGTTAAATGTGCGTTTTGTTTTATTGTATTGGGTAAGTTCTTGTTTCAAATTCCTAGTTAAAGGTGTTGTCTTTTTCCTGATAGTTGTTGATTTGCGATCTTAAGAATGAGAAAGGTGGATCAGAACTTGCGTGTCCTTAGAGATTTTTTTACATGTTTCCGCAGGTATAGGGAAAGGAGATGGGATCTCAAACAGCTTATTGGGTCTGGAGGAATGCCTTCTTCACATTCAGCCACCGTTACGGCTCTCGCTGTATCAATCGGTTTACAAGAGGGCTTTGGTGGATCACATTTTGCAATCGCTTTGGTCTTGGCATCAGTTGTAAGTTGCTCACCTCCTTTATCTTTACTTTTATCTTTATCTTTGGGACACCATCTTAGCTACTTTCTCTTGTTTATATATGTGAGTGATTTGGGTTGATAGGTCATGTATGATGCTACCGGTGTAAGATTACATGCCGGTCGCCAAGCTGAGGTTTGTTTTTAGCTCCAACTTTAATATAATCCATCTTTCTAGAATCTGCAGGTTTTCTTGATCAAACAACCGATATTGATTTTCTCATGATAGATTTTGAGCTCTGATATCCTCATCTCTGGGGGTCTGCTTCATATTCCAGGTTCTCAATCAGATTGTATACGAACTTCCTGCAGAACATCCGCTGGCTGAAAGCAGACCATTGCGTGAACTTCTCGGTCATACCCCTCCGCAGGTATGTAATACAGTTGATTGAACAACCATTAACCTTGGTCACCACACCTTGCTGAGCATCTTCATAGATTCCACTTTGATCCAGTCCCCAAATATCTTCCTAGACCTCCAACCTTTTCATATATGACAAGTAAGAGATGAGATTCTGATAAGTAGGTATAGGAGTTAGCTGTTGCATAACTGCCGTGTTACCGTTGCTACCATTCAGCTAGCAAGATAGTTAAAAGTTTTGGAGAAAAGCCTGAGTATAATAAATTCATGTGGGTAGGGGATTGATGGGATCAGTGAGGGGGATGGTCGTGTATTTGGCGCTTTTTAGAGGCATGTGTGAGTTGAGGAAACTCTAGAGCAAATCCTAGTTTGTGCTTGATTTGATTTGTCACTATGCTTTGGGAAGAATCAATTTCTTGTTCTTATCAGATTCTGTCTTCCTTTGCTGAGAACAGGTTGTTGCTGGTGGAATGCTTGGAAGTGTCACAGCAGTTACTGGATACTTGTTCACCAGGATAGCTACTAGCTAACGTGAATGGACAAGAATACACGCAACTCTATTGAAGCCACTGGCCAGAACCGAAACGGATTTACAATTGAATCCAAGTTTGATTCACTATTTATTTCGTAACTTTAGCTTGCTCTCGCCATTCTACACATAACCAGTTTATATTTGTAAAGAAAACTTGAAACACCATTACTTAAAAAGAATGATTTTATTTGGAAATAAGTAGTATACAATGAATTTGTCATATATAATCATTGGAGTTGTTCAGTGTCTACCAAGTATGATGGAGAAGACATCTCTCATGTGCAGAGTAGGATTTAAAGGAACATCAGACTTCACACGCCAAGCAATGTGTTGGTCGGGACGGACTAAAATAGATCCTCTCTCCGACATTTTACAAATACTCCACCAAGAAGTTTCTTCGCCACTTTGTTTTTTAACTTCCATAACATCGACATAACTTTCCAGTGAAGCTAATGCCGATTTGCTCTCCCCTTCCACACCATCATGGCTACTAGGCCATACAATGCACACCTTTACATTAGCCATAAACTCTTTTGCCACTTTGAATGTAGCACGAGCTAGCTCATAGGATTCTTCTAATGGTGATATTAGCAGTAGAAACTCCACTTTCTCTGTTGAAACAAGATCCAGTGTTGATACAACCTCTCTTTTGGAATCTGACAGTATTCTCACATACATGTGAGGCAGTCTTGAACCTGGTTCAGCACAAGGAACATAGTCTCTTCTACGACCGCTCAGTACTCCTGGATCATCAGCTTCGGACTTGTTATCAGGAACAATTGCTCCCTCTAGGTACCTAAACAATAAACACAGTAGCTTATGTTACTCTAGTCTTGAATTTACATATCTTTTGTTGTAATATGATGCCAGAAACACAATGGTTCAAACATTCAAGTTCAAACTTTCCGATCATCAATCCGTTGATATCAATTATTACAAAATCAGCCAGCCCTGGTATCTTCTCTTAATTATTTTTGGTACTACTCAGACTAGAGTGAGAATTTTACAGTTCCAAAGGTGATGATGATACCTGAAACCAAGATCCTCTGCAGGAAACTGTAGTTGAAGGCTTTTTCCTTCTTCGAAGATGCTCTTTAGCCTGTTGAGTCTCTGATATCCCAGTGGATTGCTCTTATTCAATAGAGATTCTGAAAGCTGCGCACGACCTAGCGCAAAGACATTATCCAAGATTGCCTTTTGCAGCCCAGTTGGAAGGATGGAACCGACTGTTTGGTTTATAAACCTATGAACTACAACACCATAGAGATATAATTACCTGATAACGGAACAATGAACTGAGAAAGAATACAGGCTACTTTTAGTTTACCTGAGTTTGCAACTGTTGGGTCAAGGCCTAGCGCTGATGGAATCGACATAGCTGCTCTGAAGTTCTGAACACTGAGTGAAGTATTGAAAAGGGCAATCTAGCAGTAACAATAAGATGCTAGTAAATGAATTAACTTGAGAAGAAAAAATGGAAAGAAAAAGGTTACAAAAGATAAATACAGTACCGGCCTACGTTCTGCTTCATAGGTATTAATAATGGAAGATTTTGCAGAACCTTGAACAAGAGCTGCTATTTTCCATGCAAGATTATGAGCATCCTGAATTCCAGTGTTCATTCCTGCAAGCAAATCATGTAATTTACTACCAGAATATTTTCCAAGACTGCAAAATCAAACCAATTCCTGAACTTGCCATCGCTCAATTCATATAATTAGAAAAAGAAACTGACAAAAAGGATCATTAACGATCAACTTTGATGTTTGTGGCATTCATTGGTATCACACTAGCTCATGTGACCATATCTTCAATAATAGTACTACAACAATGGGGATGATTATATTTCTTCCAAAACTTTAACCATTGACATCAGATATGGCAAACCTATCAAAGAAGCAGTATATTGTGGAACACTTACCAAAGCCTCCAGCAGGCGGGAACCGGTGAGCAGCATCACCAGCAAGTATCACTCTGTTCTCATAGCACAAGAATTTCTCAGCGACCTCAGCATGCATTACCCACGGTTTAATATCTGCTACATTCAAGTCTGAAAGCTCTTTTCCAACCAACTTGAAAATCAGCATCTTACACATCTACAAGAAGATAACAGCTCAGGGACACGCATGACAAACAAAAACGCATTTTAAATTGGTCACAGTTGGGATGGAATTTAAACTACAAGTGTATGTAGATAAATGAGTTTTCACAAGTGAGAATCCATTCTTCTCTGGCTAATGATAGTAAATACCTCGGGACTGAAATCGGATAGACTCTGCTGAGGTGGATAGAATGGAATCTGCAGTAAAACATAAATGATTACATGACAAGCTACGGTATATGACACTAACCTAAGTAGATAGATTGTGATTAAAATATCAAGGGTTTTCTGGGTCGGGGCTATAGCTACCTGGAAAACGAATTCTCCTTGCAGAAGATCATGGGCAACAAGAACTCCTATACCTTCGGTGTTGAAAATGAAAAATAGCATTCCTGGTCTGCAACTGATCAGATACTCGCCGAGCTCTCTGCTCATGAAATGGACACTAACAAGCTTTTGTAGATCCCTTTCCCCTTGCATTTTAATATCTGTGAGCCTTCTTACAGCACTCCCAGCACCATCAGCGCCAATCAGAATACTACATTGAATGTTTCTTTTCATATACTTGCCTCCTTTGAGAAAAGAAACAGTTGCGGTAACAGTTTCCTTGTTAGCATCAATCGCCACACACTCATGACCCATAAGAATTTGCCTCGCCACAACAGAGTCAAGCTCAAGCCCATCTGGCTCTTTGGAACTTTGAACAGAAAAGCCGAGGTCTTCCAACCGCTTAAGCATTAAATTTGTCAATTTGTACTGCGAGAAGTGGGCAACCGAAGCCGGGCTGACAACTTTCTCAAAATCTATTCATAACACCAGAAGAAGGACTTGTGTGAAAGGTCTGCATTTTTTTTCTTCAACAAAAGATAGTTCTATGAGCATTATGCACAAGAAGATTATACGGAAGACACACCTTGAGGCTGCATGTGGTCCACTGTGCCAAGAGTTGAACCAGAGAGGGATGTACAGTATATAAATTTTCTCCACAAGTCGACAGGAGGCTGTGACCTTTCAATCTCCTCAGCTAATCCGTGCAATTTACGAAAGATCTAAGTAAATGAAAAGTGAGAGAAATCAGTTAAGGATGAAAAATCGAGGGGGGCAAGACAAAAACTCAACCTCCATAGATCGGTTGTTGATAAAATGTGCTTGTGGATGTTTGGAGAAGCTTGTGGCTTTGTCCACAAGAGCACATTCCACCCCTAATTCATGAAGGTGAGAATTCAAAACAAGTCAAGCTAAGCTTAAAACGAGAAGCGGAAGAAATAGAGATGAAAACTGAACCTAGTTTGGTGAGAAGGATGGACAAAACGAGGCCCACCGGTCCAGCGCCGACGATCAGAACAGGAAGCTTATCATCATCTTCGCCATGTTTGCTTTGGAAGGACCTCGTTGGGTACACTCTGACCCTCGAATTGCTTCGGCTTATTCGTGTAACCCTCTTGACCAGCCCGAAAAATGCCATGGTTCCAGAACTCTAATTTAGCCCCTGAAACACAAATTGACTGTGAGCTTCTACAGAATCGAAGATCATGAACGAGTGAGTACACAGAAACTCCAGAGATGATTTCATTTGTCTCTCTCTCTTACGACCTTTAATTAGGGTTTTAGACACGAGATATCATCTAATGGGGATACGGCGGTGACCGAGGTTATGCGGTGGAGAAGGTGATGTTAAGCTCAATTTCTGGTTTCTGTGATTTTCTTAACATGACCTAATTGAATTCTTTGCTTATGTGTATGAGTTATTGAATCGCAAAGCAGAAATCAAAATGAGACACACAAATTGATCACCCAGAGTCCACGGATCTACTCTCTGGGGGTGGATCGAAACCACCAAGTTTTCACTATAAGAAACAGAGAGTTATTGATCTCTCTATACTCAATTGATTTCAACCTGTGTTAACCTTTCAATTGATTGTTTCTTATAGGAAAGCTTTGTAGCGGAAACACCTAGCTCCTCCACCGAAGCTGACTTTCCGACTTTGCTGGAGAATCACCGAGAAACACCGCGAAACAGAGCTTCACCAATCGGAGTAATTTCCGGAGACAACAGCCCAAAGATCCAAAGCAATGGAGCTTCTAATTCGATCAATCTCTGACTCGAATCTGCTTTCTCTACCTTGAAACCTCACGATTTTCTCTGTTTGTGGGTAAGCCTTCTTCTCTCTCTCTCTTCTGTTACTTCACGTCTCTCATGAAGAAGATGATGAAGACTTTTTGTACTGGCAGGTTTGACTAAACCTGAGTTGGGCTTTGGGCCATATTAATTCAGGCCCAACTTATCGCAAGCCCATCTCTGGCCCAAATGAAAAACGACATCCACAAATCTCCACCTTGTTGTTTTGTCGAATCCCAACATAAACTCTCTTCATCTCCCCTGCGAAAACCTAGCCGACCATAGACCAGATACTGTTCGAGACTCCACCGTCACAACCATCACCAAACCTGATCGGAAATCTCTTCCGTTGCACCTCTGATCCTTGATACCTGAACCCTTCTTACCCGAAGACCCAAAATCACCAGATACATCAGAAGACAACCCCCCAAAAACTTTTCCAATTCTGACCCAGAATCTCAAGCCTTCTCTTTTCTGATCTAATCAGCCAAAACCTGACCCTTTTCTTCTTGATTTCACTTTACAGCAACCTTTGAAGACGATTTTAACAGGTAAATCTCTTCGACTTCACCTTTTGAATCGCTTCGCCTTTTAAACTTCTTCATGTCAGTAAAACTGACTCTTTTACTTATTTCATCTCGATCAAACCCTCAACATCGCTTGAACCAGCAACCGACGATCCGTCAGATGACAAGCATAACTTTCCAACCCGAACCGGTAAGATCTCGGAATCTCCTGAATCAGATAGCTTCTTTAACCAGAACCCACTGAATCAGATTTCTGCATTCTTGTTGATTTGTTTACCGATTTCAAGTTAGAGCAGATACTAACATGAAATCTGTTTCCT